ATGAAAGAGTGCAGAAATACATATTTTACAAGTCAATTAGAAGCCATGCAAAACATTACTTTACTGGAAACAAAGACAAAGAAGCATCATACCAAGGACTGAGAAAGCCCGTGCTGGACCAAGGCTTTATAAGAAATTCCTTGGGCTGGGGTTCCTCACCTCGACCTAAGCGTCTCCCTTCCTCATCTTTCCTTCTGTTCTCATCCATTCATCTACCATGTAGGGGAACCAGTGTCACAGCTCAGCATGGACAGAGGATACAAAGGATGAGCTCTCTGAATGGGGTATGCACTCTTTCTATTGACAGTCCAATTCTGAACTGTGAGCAAACGGTGGGAAGGGGAACCTGACACCCTGTCTAGTTTCCAGGTAAAACTCTGGTGAACTGGCTGGGGGCCATGACTGTGTGCCACTGATTCATAGTTCTCCACAGGCTGATAAGATAAACAGAAGACACATGCTCCCAACCTCCCTCCCCCTTGTTATTCTTATGCCATAGCATTGGGCACTGACCTGCTTTGCCCACTTCCCCTTTCCTCAATGATCCTTCAGCCTGGCACCCAGCTTTGAGATGAGGCCTGCTTAGCACCAGTGAAGTTCCCCACATTCAAACCAACAACGTTCTGTGTGGAGATGAGGGAATCAAAGTTAAAATCCAACCCATCAGCATCCATAAGTTCACTACGGATAATGGACTCCATGTCACATTCCAAGCTCCCATTGAACATGTCCAGGTCCAAGTCACTGGGGAACTTATCATGGCCCATGATGGGAAGGCTTGCACTAGTTGAGTACAAGGAGGAGCCTGAGAGAGAGTCCGAGAGAATTTGCATAGACTGGCTGACAGAAGACTGCTGCTGGTGTTTGGTTGTCCCAAGGCTGCTGGAGTCACTCAAGCCCATGTTGCTGACAGAATTCGACAAGGCACGGCTGCCACCAAGAGTGCCCTGGGTTTGGTGTTGGTGGTGGAGCAAGTTTTGATTGACCAAACTCCCCTGGGTAGGCTGGGCGGCAAAGGACATCATTGGGTCATTGCGAAGCATCACGTTCCTGCGGGCATTCTGGGCAGACACGGCAGTGCTGGCCTGAGACATCAAGGGGTCTGACTGGGTCATCATGACATCGCTGTGGCTGAGTGAGTCCGAAGTGAGCAAGTCCTGGAGTGTCTGGTTACCATAGTGTGCCATGGAAGAGAAGGTGGTTGGCTTGTTCTCTTGGATGGTTTGCATGGGAGACTGGCGCAAGGAGTTCAGAGATGAGGGTCCAAACACGGTACTGTTAAAAGAGCTGGTTGGGGAGCCCAGGCCAGAGCTCTTAGTGGTATACGGGAAGCTCGAGCTCCGCTGCATAAGCCCCCCAGGAGGCGATGGCTGGGATGATGGGAGTGTGATATTATCCAGCAGGTCATCCATGAGGTTGTCGGCCAGCCCATCATTAAGATTCATGGTGCCCGCCATGTCGGTCAGTCGTGGAAGCTCCACGGTACACGGCTTGCTCACTGAAGGTGACAGGCTGGCAGAGCTGCTATAGAGCATGGGGGAGAGTGGCGCATCATCATCCTGGACATCATCCAACTCTGTGCTTGCGAGAATGGGTGACAGGCGGCCACTGACTGTGCTGGCATTGGAATTAGTACGCGAACGGAAGTCTGTCCATGCATCCAGCTCATCACTGCTTCGGGATGTGGGACTGCCGGGCCACTTGGAGAGCTGGGAAGGACTATCATCTGCTGACTCTGGGGCAGCCTGTAGGGCTGCCTTCTTCTTGGCTGCACGGCCACGGCTCTTTGTGTACTTGTTGCTGTTGTCCATGGAGACAGCCCGCCGCCGGGGGGCCTTTCCACTTTTCCCCCCGTCAGGGTTGATGATCCACCAAGAGCTCTTGCCTGTTCCCTCGTTCTGGACTCGCATGAATCGACTGTGCAGCGACAGATTGTGCCGGATAGAATTCTGCAGAAAAAGATGGGAAAATGGACAATGTGAGACAGGATGGTACCAAATAGACGATTTAGGTTCTTCAGTTTTTAAGACTCTACACTTGTTTTTTTTTTTAACTTTTTTGGGGGGAGGAGGGTGCACCAACAATGCACATGGAGGTCAGAGAACAACCTGAAGTCAGGCAGTTTTCTCTTTCCACCATGTGGGTCTCCTGGGGATCAAACTCAGGTTGTCAGGCTTGTTGGCAAGGGTCTTTACCCTTTAAGTCATCTCATCAGTCCAGCCTTCTCAAATTTATAGGCTTTAAAAAATTAACTTTTAAAAAGACAGATAGCTGCATGACTTGGAATAAAGCGCAAGTTAAATGGGAAGTTTCATGTATGGGAGATGATTTCGTGTCCAGAAGATGCTGGAAACCTAAGCTCATTGACATGGTTTTTTATCCAAATTCTTAGAACTTATTTGCATTTTTATAATTATATTTCTTTTTTAAAAAGGATTTTTAATTTGTGTTGAGTGTTTTGCCTGCATGCATGTTAAGTGTACCCCTGCATACAATGCCTAGGGAAGCCAGAAGAGGGTGATGGATCCCCTGGAACTGAAGTTATGAGTAGTTGTTAGCTGACATGTAGGTGATGGAAACTGAATGGAAGTCGTCTGCAAGAGTAGCCAGTGCTCTTAATGGCTATAATCTCTATACGATAGCTCACCTGATAATTAATTAGCACACCATTCCTTCTCCATACTTTGCAATAAGCCTCTTCTGGCTTTGTAACAGAAGCCAGTCACCTGGCTGCTATTGTCTTTTATGGTCCTTTCCTCCACAAGTACAAAGACAGCATCTACCTCTTTTTAACTGCTTCTATCAGAAATAGTATGAATTTTTACCTGTTCCTTCTAGGATGCCATACTGCCACAATTTCACACATTACTACATAATTTCTGGCATATATAAGAAGAGGAGCACAGGACTGTCTAGGTTGGTAAAAGAAGTAGGCAAGTCTCTCACTCAGAATTCACATCAATTACAGATACTCTACCCTCAGGGAAGTGTGGGTTGCTAACTCCCTTCCAAAGAGTACAGTATTTAAAGGGGGTAGATTAATTTATAGTGGGAAAAACCTGACAAATGCAGTCAGCCAGGTGATCAAGGCCAATGTCAATAGAGATTAGTCACATTAGTAGTGTACACCCTAAATAAAATGTGCTGGAAATGGAAACTTTTCAAATGGTCTTCCAAAACTCCAAACTCCAGACTAATAATAAGAAAAACATCACACAAATCCCCATTAAGGGACATTTACAAAAGCCTGTGTAGTACTCTTCAGTACCATCCCAGACAAGAAGAGTCTAAGGAGACAAATGGCTATAGCTAATGTATCCTAGATGAGATCCTGTCACAGGAAAAGACCTTAGGGAAAATTCTGAGAAGTCTGATCAGCACAGACTTTAGCTTATAACAATGATAAATATGGATTAATCAGTGTGACACTTATACCAGATTGTAAGATTTTATAGAGAAAACATGGTGGTGGATATATGGGGAACTGTGTTATCTTCACAAGTTTTCTATATATCTAAAAGTATTCTAAAACAAAAGATTTGTTCTTTTCAAAGTAGGGCAAATACCCTTAAAGTTCAAATAACTTGAGCTACCTGTAAGAATATCCCTTCTGGCTTAGTAGATACACCCAGCTGTAATGGATAACCAGGTTCAGACTTATCTCTTCCATTGACCAAAAACCATGGGACCCTGAACAAATCATTTCATTTGTCTACAACAACTATAGGTCTCCATCTTCATTACAGCCATAATATCCAATCACCCGTTCCTGACAGGGATGACATAATGACAGATAATAATGCACTTCAGAAGTCAGTCATATTGTGGCGTCGGAGTGGTCTTACTGTTCTTATAAAGTACAAAGTCAAGCTGGGGTGGTGGTGTACGTCTTTAGTCCCCAGCACCGGGGAGGCAGAGACAGCCTGGTCTACATAGCGAGTTCTAAGCCAGCTGGGGCTACAGGGAGACAAGGAAGGAAGGAAGAAGGAAGGGAGGGAGGGAGGGAGGGAGGGAGGAAGGAAGGAAGGAAGGAAGGAAGGAAGGAAGGAAGGAAGGAAGGAAGGAAGAAAGGGAAAAAGAAAAAGGAAGAAAGCAAAGTCCATAGAGAAGAGTGCTCATAACCTGGGGCAGGCTTATTCTAATCTGTAAAATGCCTTATGTGTAGCATAAAAGAGTTTATGGTATTCACATCTGGAAATAGCACCTGCAGGCCAGATGAGTTTTTATTGGCAAGTAAAGATAAAAGACATTGCCTAATAGTACACATTAAATATGAACAATTCTAAAAGTTACATTTTAAAAAATTGGCAATCATCAACTGTATTTATGTAGAAGATACAAATACATGTGTTGTATCAGAATGTTTTTAAAACACAGAAAGCCAGCAGAATTTTGCCATAAATAACTCAAAATACAGAGTACTTGTAATGTACATCCTTATCCAAGATGGGACTACAGAGCAATGAATACCAGCAATCATGGGTCCTAAGTAGGCATTTCTACAACTGCCATCAAGATGTACAAAGAAAACTGAATATCATGAAATACATGTTGCCCAGGAGACTATATATCCTGCTTCTCTTTCACACTTATATTTAAAAAAAAAATAACGGCAACTGTACTAATGGTTCAGAAACTTCATTTCTTTAAAAGTAGAATACTGTCTCTATGAAGTAGGTATGAGGCAAACTCCTAACACACACTTGCAGGGAGAAAGAGCAAGGCGGATCTACCACTGAGTGTTCATGTGACTCAATGCATTAAATAAAAATGTAGACACAAGCTTCAGGGTAAAAAGCAGGCTGGTCTTGAGGCTCTAAGGGTGCAATGCAGATACCTCCTAATTACTCCCACCTGGCAGCCTCCTTTGCTATTAATTCTGGGAAGAGTTCACACCAACACCAAACATTTACAAGAATGAACAATCTTAAGTATCTAGTTATCTTGTCTTTAAAAAACATTCAGCGAACAGTATTTTTAAAATGTGTTTTACTGTTACCAATTCCAAACCTACTAACTAGAAAAAAGTTTACAGAACTTCAAAATGTCCTATATGGATTTCTAATGGCCATCTATTACCTAATCCCTGGGGGAGGGGAGAGAATTTTATGCAATTACAAGTTACAACTGGCTAAAATTGGAGACGGATATTAAGGTTCTGTAAGGTCCTCTGGTAAAAGGTAGGAACACCCAAACAAGGCTAGTACCATAGGAGTCAAGGCAGGAAAGAACCATGAAGACTGGCCTGTTCAGGTCCCTAATCACAAAGTGAAGAGCCAATGGCCTACCAGATTATGGTACTGTGGCTACTGAGCCACAGGTTTTAGATCAACTCTAATCTTTGGACTTTGGAGACTGTATTAGTGCCCTCATTTTGTTCATGAAGGTTTAGGCTCAGACATACGAAATAAAATTTCATAGCTAGTACATAAAGAATCAAAACTTGATCTGGTTTTCCAATCTTTTTCAGAAGGTGTATGAGGCCAGACATGGTGGTGTACTCTTGCTTTAATCCCAGCACTCAGGGGGGCAGGCGGATCTCTGTGAGTTCCAGGCCAGTCTGGTCTACACAGGGAGTTCCAGGCCAGCTGGGGTTACAAAGAAGACCCTGTCTCAAAAAAAAAAAGGTGTATGAGGTATGAGTGTTCTGCCTGCCTGCATGTACTGCATATGTGTGTGCCTGGTGCCCTTGGAAGCCAGAAGAGGGTGTCAGATCCCCCTGGATCCGGAGTTACAGAGGACTGTGAGCTGACATGTGGGTTCTGGAAACCAAATCTGGGTCCTTTGCAAGAGCAAAAGTGCCCTTAACCATTGAGCCATCTCTCCAGGCCCAGGTTTTTCAAAGTTAATGCAATGCTTTTTCTGTAGTCCTTCATAGAGTTACTACCAAGGTAACACATCACCATTTAATGTACTTGTGCCAACAACTCAAGAAAAATACCCAAAGTAATTACGATTTAAGAAAGAAGAGGAACACAAAAGCATAATCTTATCATTGTGATTTTACTTATGACATACTTTGAGATTTAGTGGGTCTTCCCACCCCCAGTTTTTTTTTTTTTTAAAAGGTGTTGAAAAAGAAAATCTATCTTGCAGAAGAGCAAGCCTGAAAGGGTGAGCTCACTCTAGCACGTTTGTCCTTTAGTAAGGCAGCTACCACAGCACCCTTCCTATGGGGAGGACGGTGGTGACCACACTAACAAATGGGGTGTCCACAGCTTCTCATATAAGCCCACCTTCTTAGAGACTGTCTTTAGGAGCCAATCTTCATTTGCCTCTCGTTTTAGAGGCTTATTAATGGTAGAATACATTCCCTGAGGCCTATTATCTACAGGGCTCAGACAGGTTTTTCCAGCTACTTTACTAAGACAACACAAATAAAAACTGGGGTATCACCATCCTGATAGGCCCCAATCCCAGGAGGCTCCACTCATACAGGCTGGCCAGCCTTCCATTTATAAAAATCCATAATCTGAAGGCAAGGCACTGACAAAGGCCAACAAACATGGCTCACTTGTCCATCACTGGTTCAAATGCTCTATGCCCTGTCAAGGCCAATGTATTCTCCTGTTTCTGCGTTCAGGAGTCTAATGACTAGTTTTTCCACCTAAGTTTTATTGAAGTAGGAAAGATTTAGAAGAAAAACAGCAACAACAACAAAAACAAAAAAGCAACCCCACCACCACCACCAGGTAAAACATCAGTACTGTGATGTTTCTCTATACCTTCCTGGTAACAAAAGTGAATGGTAAGATTTCTGTAAGATTTCAAACAGCATCTCCCCAACTTCAATCTCAGGAAATGTACATTAAAAATATCCCACAATTTTCTACTAATTCATGTATCATCCTATGAAGTAATCTGAATTTCCAAAACTTTTACTTTAGTATAGAGAATGGGAGCTGAAGGTAATGAAGGAATGGTTTGAAAAAACTCAAGTTCTATTAAA